CAATGGATGGCCAACGAACATAAAGCAGGTTCCAGAAATCCTCAAACCCTATTGGACCTTTCGTGATGAGATCACCACCGAAGATGGTATAGCAATGAAAGGCCAACGTATTATCATCCCCCATAGTATGCAGAGCATGATACTTACGAAGCTTCACGCAGGTCATCAAGGGTCCGAAAAAACTAAATTAAGAGCACGAACATCGGTTTACTGGAGAGGAATGAACAGTGACATTGAGAAGTCGTGCAAATCGTGCAATACATGTCAAGAAATGCAGAACAGTCAACCCAAAGAGCCACTTATCCAGACAGAGGTACCGCCAGGTCCATGGCATACCATCGGCACGGACTTATTTTACCTAGACGGAGCGGAATACTTATTGGTCGCTGACTACTACTCAAAATACCAGTTCGTGCGAGAGGTACCAAAAGGGAAGAGCAGCAGTAGGACAATCGCGAATTTAACGAAAGAAATTTTCAGCGAACAAGGAGTACCCAAAATCGTAAGATCCGATAATGGGCCCCACTTTGAAGGACAAGCATATAAAGAGTTCGCAAAGCAATATAATTTCCAACATACCACAAGCTCACCACACTACCCCAGAAGCAATGGGTTTATTGAGAGCCAAGTCAAGACTACGAAAAAGACAATGAAAAAAGCAAGAGCAACCAATACAGACCCACTCATGGCTTTGTTATGCTTACGGGCAACTCCAATCAACAGCACTCTTCCATCCCCAGCTGAGCTCTTATTTGGTAGACCAATCCAAGACAACCTGCCAAAGAAAATACCGAAAGGAAAAACAACTGAGGAGGTGACTAGCAGATTATTACAGCGGCAAGCTACGCAGAAATACTACCATGACAGAAATACAAAACCGCTCCAACCATTAAAACCTGGTCAAAGCATAAACATCCAAGACCCAAGGACACAAACCTGGAAACCCGCAGAGATAAAAGAGAAAATTCAAGAAGTACCCCGATCTTACATTATCACGAAACCAGGAGGAGGAGAAATCAGACGAAATCGAACACAGATACGAGAACGCCCACAAGATCCAATGGAACAAGCATATCAACAACCCTGTGAGAAAACACTAGACAACCCCGAAACCCCGTTCCCTAAGAGCACCCAAGAAAGCCACCAATACACAACGCGTAGCGGCAGAATAGTAGTACCCCCAACACGTTTAGATATGTAGAAAGAAATTGAACACAAGACGACAGTCTGTAAATGACTTGTTATTATATATATACAAAACATCTTATCTTATTGATATCTAAAAGAAACTATAGTACTATACTGAAACTCAAGGAACTATAAACTTTCATATTAATGTTAGGGAAAGGAGGATGTAATGATATACTTCCGGTTTGAGACCCCCCATGGGGCCTCGTGTTGTTGTTGTACTTATCTTGTAAAAATACAAAGCTCGAAGACTATTACACTACCCTTCAGAAAACATGGGAAACGGGAAATGGGGGAGGATAAAGGTTCAATCCAATTTCGCAGCCTAAATTTAGTTCGAACCCAGTCACCTGACCAACTGGATTAGCGGTTTGCTATATCCCATTCGAAACAACAAATTGTACATGGCGCAAATCTCTTTTTTAGTGGACCAAATTCCATTTACGTGATTAAAAATGGAGAAACTCCGGACCAGCTTCTATTTCAGCCATTCACGACATATTGTCGTGAATTATACAACTCACAAAACCTCCTAATGTTATGACATTTTGTCAGCACTATTTCCAAAGTGGCAAAAGCTATGCCAGTTCTTCAGGTTTAAGAGGAAAATCTCTGCTCACAATTGAGTGGACCAATCAACATGGTTGTGGTGATCGGGATTTAAATTGCAATTTTGTTCTTCAATATCGGTGTCAGGATGACACGAAACATCAAAAGTTAAATCACCACACAATGAGGAATGGTAAGAACAATTCAAATATTGGGGGCAACTGGAGATATATTCTTGCATCGGAATTGCAATCATCTAATTAATCAAAAGTGCAGAGCTAGATTTATTATATTTAGTTAAAACAATCATTATAGTGACTATGGTATGCTATAATCAAATAACCGTTGATTCAGAAAATTATCTATCGATCAATGCCCAAGCGCAGTTAGGAGATCAAGCAACGTCTGTAACAGGCTTGTTTCACTCACAATCTTCTCATCAGTTTTTCTTGTCAAGAAGACACGAAACATCGAAGTGGAATCGCCACACAATGAGGAACGGTAAGAGAAATGTGTTACTAACCACGGAAAGAAGGGGATCAAATTTAATGGGCAATCGAAGATATTCTTGCATCGGAATTGTAATTCTCTAAATGAATCAAAAGTAAAGAATTATTACATTTGGCTAAAACTTTTATTAATGACAAAGGTTTTATTGCTGTAATAAAATAACCTCGTTGCTTCTGAAAATTATCTGTCAATGTTCAAGCGCAGGTAGGAGATCAATCCTCCGACAAATTTCTCATCATCTTTTTCTTTCTTAAATTACTCACCAGAGGGGAAAAACATAAGAAGGCAAAAACTAAGCTAAGTTTGGAGAAACTAAAAATCCTATCAGCAATAAGCCAGTGGACAGCCGCATCAGTTTCGGTTTTTCCTTAGTCAGTCAATATTAAAGGTTGACCAAATAATGACTGGATGCTTTCATAAAATACTAATATTAATACATAAGTTATATTGAGAAAATTACGTCGTACCTCAATGCATGGGAAAATAGAAATTGAAATTCATATTGATTCTTTCATGTTCAAATTTGTCACAAAGCAAGATTAATTAATTACGATTACGTACGAAGAGATTTTAACATTATGCATTGCTATAGGACGTCAAACCACCACTCCACAATACGTCAAATATACGTACACTCGGCGCTCGACGAAGAACGGAAGACTGAATGCTGATTCAATTAGATTTTACCGAGGTCTTCATGAACCCTGGGAATGGATTGATAAATGCTACAAAAGATTTCGTAATAAAGGTGAGTTCTATAGGTTTGATAACAAACAGCCTAAAATAGCTCACTGTCAGGTAAGACCCGAGTGACCAACTTTTTGGGTTCATGAATACAATTCACATGGGTTTGAAATAATTTAATACGTAATTAATATCTAGAGTATAGTGACTGAAAGCATGCCGAGATTGAAAAAAACATCTCCGGTTTGAAGTGTAGTGCAGTAACTTGACGGATCCACACGAAAATCGTACGTAATACTGCTTGCATGCATATCATCGTTTTAAAAACAGAGAAAATAAATATTGGGTAAAAACGCTAATGATCTCAGCCTGCATGCATGATAATTACATCAATAACGGCATTAGGAACAGGGAATTGAAATCTGCATGTGCATATAAAAATTCAATTTGACTCTGAGCCGAAATAATCGGAAATTTGTCGATTATTCTACTTTTACTTTGTTGCTTTATATTTGTAATGAATTTATATATTTGTTGTCATGTTGTTATATGATATTTGTGGTGTTACTCTGAGTGTATATCCACACCGGGCGAGCTTGAAAAATATGCTCGGCCATGGTGGGATTCGAACCTACGACCTTTGGAATGCTAGCCCAATGCTCTTCCAACTGAGCTACGCGGTCAGGACGGTTCGAGTAAGTGATATTTCGGAACAGAATCTAGTTCCTTCGATACCAAGGTATTCTAGTAATAT